TTCATCTGTTTCCTCCACCACCTTCCACAGGCCCTGGCAGATGTCTGTGTAATTGAATTGACCACTGGTATAATCAGTGGAGAGAGGAGCTTTGTCTTTCTTTCTGGAACCTTTGGGAGTTTTGTTTTTTAATGTTTAGCTTCCATACTCTTATTTTAATTACTTGAAAATGCTGCCAGTGAAATCTATTGATTCCTGATAATTGAGCTGGAAAAAAAAACTATACTTTGCTGGTATTAAGGGATTGAATTTCTAAGTGGAAGCTTGAACTGAACCAGTGAAGCTCATGAATAAATGAAACTTTGTACCATTATCTCTTTAATTAAGTCCCAGTTTATTTGCTGCTTAAGGTTTTATTGATGGAATATACACAGACTGGCAGAAATGTGAATTTAGGATTACAACAACAGGATATGACCTCATGTTTTAAAAAGTAGCGATGCTTTTAACTCCCTGCTCTTTATAACACTTAGTTCTTGCTTTGTTTCATTGAATACCATTATGCTCACTTTAAAAAAAATCTCATCCAAAGCAAGGCAACTGTCACCCACCAATTTTAGGCAATTCTCACAAGGCAGCTTTGTAAATCAAAAGAGTTACCTGCTGTTGAAAAACAGTTGGAAGTTAAGGATTTACTTCAAGATGTTTAATTTCCTTGTGGCAAAAGTTAAAAATACCTAGCTTGGCTTGAACATGGCTTTACTGGAATGCAAACTCTGATTCTTGGCAAAGGCTCTCTATTCTGTGTGGTTGTGTGCCAGGGGATGGGGAGGAGAAAGAGTCTCATTGGCCTGCAGCAAATGTGGAGGCCAGGGAAAGATAGGTGTTAGTAAAGATAGAATGTTCTTCTGTGCAACATTCTCCAACTTGAGATACTGAAGCAATATTAAAAGATGTTAAACACAGATACAAACACATACACATCCATAAGCAAATGAGTTTGGGGTACCTGGGTTTGAATTAATCAAATATATTTCCTAATTATAAGTCTCTTTAGAGCAGCAGTGTTCCATATGGAAGCCACTAGCCACATGTGGCTATTTTAATCTTAATTATAATTAATTAAAATGAAAAATAGTTCTTTAGATGAAGTAGGCACAATTCAAGTGCTCAATGGGCACATGTGACTAGTGTCTATCTAATTGGACAGCACTCATTCTAGAACATTTTCCATCATTGCAGAAAGCTCCATGGGACGGGGCTGTTTTAGGACTTACAATGTGCTGGTCACTGAAAAAGAAACATAGTTTGTAACCATTCCCACACACATTTAATACTTTCTTCAAATACATGATGGAATTATGTTCTAAGAAACACAATTGGAAAAGGCTGTTTAGTTTCTTACATATTTTGAAATGCATATACTTTATTTCACTTGATTCTTCCCACAGCATTGTGGTGCATTCGCCTCATTTTACAGAAAGGAAACAGAAGCTCAAAGATGGAACTTGGCCATAGACACAAAGCTAATAAGTAGCAGAGCCAGGATCTGACCCCAGGTCTATTGGATTCCATTTACCATGTCTCCCCCGGTGCTCCCACTGACACCCTCACTCACCCACCCACCTAGACACACACAGAGAGATGAAAGTTGAAGCTCTAATTATGTTGTTTTCAGGGGTTACCAGAGAAGCTATGATGGAACTTCAGGTTGAGAGCAGCAAATGGGTTGAGAGTATGTCAATGGTTGCCAACATTTTTGAACTCACAAAACTCAGATAATATACATGTGATTTTTTTAAAGTTAAGCCCTAACTGGAGATGTTGTCTTATTATTTTCCAGCACGGTTCTTGGGAATAAACACTGCTTGAAGGGGAAATGAAAGTATAATTGAAGATCCGAGAATGATAGACATGTATAAATGATAACCTCTGGCTCTTAAAATACTAACAATCGTGTAATCTCACAAAAGCACGGGAAGACTTAGTTTAGTTGTGAAATACCCCCTCAGGCCCTGAATATCCTCTCCTGATCCTCAAGGTTCTGTCGAGTAGGGTTGGGTTCTTAAACACTCCCTCAGTGTCCTCCAACTTCATAACAAACTAATTAAGTCAATCCAGTGAGGGAAAAGAAGTGAGTTAAATAAATGTCCATAAAGAAAAACAGTTAATAGCCTCTTCTTTCCTTGCTTTTAGTTCTGTCTTTATCGAAAGACACATCTTTACCATCATCATCATCTATTGCCTTCCATTTTCATAGCATTTTATAGTTTAGCAAACACTTTCATAAGCATTTTCCATTTTGATTGTTGCAACTACCTTATAAGGGAGAAGCATGTCTCATTTTTTAAAACAGGAAGCTGAGATTCAGAGAGGTCAAGATTCCCTGGTTGATAAGATGCAGGCAGGGCCAACTCGGATAATCTGTCTTTTCATCCAGTTTTTTTTAGTATTCTATATGCCTTGATGATAATCCCTTTACATTTTCCCGAGCATTATTGAAAGTAGTCTTTAAAATTTCCCTTCTGGAACATGTAGGAAAAGGGCAAGTAGCTGACCTTTTCTGAGATTGATTCAGAACATTATTTCTTGGAAGTAGGCCCATGAATAGACATTTTGAGCCATTCCTGTACATGATTTTCCAGCAAAATAGAACTCCCCAAAAGCCCCAGGGGACTTCCTGACAAACCCAGCTGTTTAAAAGCTCATTTCCCATCTCTTTGCTGTCACTTCTGTTTTCTGCAACCATCCTGGGCGTAAATCTATTAACTTGAAAGAAAACCTTGTAGTGAGACTTGTCAAAACATAATTCTTTTTTTGTTGTTCAAGAGAAGATTAGCAAAAAAAACATTAATATTCATATTGAGAGATGTATGTGCAAGCTGCCCATGCAAAAATAGGACCAGGCTAATTTTTGCAAAGTGTTGAACTCCACAGTTTACCTAAATCTACAAGACATTGCATTTGAGCTTGAGTTTTGGAGTTAAATCGATCATTTGAGCTGTGTGAGCTTCAGCAAGTTACTGAATATCTCTGAGCTCTACTTCCCATTGAAACAGTAACAAGACCTTCCTCTAACACTTACTGTGGAAACAAAAATAAGATAATGGCTAACACAGATTCTGGCCCAATAAAATAAAAAGTAAGAACATAGTAAAAAGGTGGTAGTGATAGAGAGGAGGTGGGTGTAGGGATGGGGATATCAAAATTCTTAGTAGGATTTCCCACTATTGAAATTCTACTTAGAATAAACAGCACAGAGAAACACAACATGCTCAAGATTTCAAGTCATTTAAACAAGAGGAGCAAAGTCGACCCCCAGGGACTCTCCTAAGATGAGAGCAGATGCTGAGAGGATGAGTTTGTTGCTCAGCTTCTTTGAGAATCTGAAAATCTGGAGAGGGAGAGGCTGGTCTGGGTTTCTCTAGGGAGCAGAGTTTTGTGGCTTATTGGAAGGAGGTGGGGAGGGGGAGGGATATTTTCCTGGGGCAGGATTTCTTAGCATTTTCTTGTAATGATTTGACACCTGTACTTCTAACCAAAGTGACAAGACATCTGGAGTAGTTGCAACATTTTTGAATAAGAGCTATGTGGAATATTGGTTTGACTTTCTTAAGGGTTTTAGCCAAGCAGTTTACCCAGGAATCCCAGACACATGTGTGATGAGAGGCAGACCCCCGAGTCCAAGACCCTGCTGGTGTGCTGATTGGTGTGCATGCCCGCCTCTGTGTGTCGTCTGTGTTTCACATGTTTGTCATTGACAGCCAGAAAAGTAAATCCAAGAGGCTCTTTTAAAAATCATCCCCAAAATCATCGTGGAAAGACTCTATGTGGACCAGATTCCTAAGCAGCCTCCTTCAAAACAGAAAATCCTTTCAATTCAATGTGTTTCTGTCAAGCTTCTAAACACAAAATGCTCATGCAACAGCTAATGTACCTTCCTACATTTTTTCCTTTGCTTACCAGCAAGTGTTTGCTTACATTTCTAAAGTTAGCACTCATCTCTTGAAGCATAGTAAACAGGGTAATTCTCTTATACATGTTTAAATAATGTGGAAAAATCATTCATTTTCCTTCAAGTTCTAACTTTCATTTGCATCTAGGACATAACTAAATGCCGAATACGCAAAAAGCAAAAGAATTTATCATACTTTTGGTGGGTATGTGGTCAAAATGAAAGCTACCCTCCACTGATCCAAAAGAGTCTTAAAATATGTATTTTCTGTCACTAAGTAAAAGATTTACCTTTCACTGGGTGTCACATGACAACAAAAGGCAATGAGCTTCAGCTTCTGCCATCAACCACAGTTCAACTGAGTGATTTTTTTTTTCTGTATTAAAAAAAAATACCACCTGCTACAGTGTTGAATATAGTAATGGCTGAAGTTAAAAAAAAGTGTCTGGGACTGAATGGGGAAGGAGAGATTAAGTGATGACAGCACTTTGGCCACCTGTTTCCATCCCCTTTTAACACCAGCTTGTTTTTCAGGTGCATCGTCCCCTGCTCGGCCAGCCACTCCCTTGGTCCCTTGCAGCAGCACCACCCCACCACCACCTCCTCCCCGGCCTCCATCTCGGCCAAAGCTACCTCCAGGAAAACCTGGAGTCGGAGATGTGGTATGTTCCCTTCTGCCCTGGTTTGCTCAGAAACTCATGGTGAGCGTGACAAACAGGAGTGAAAAACCTTCCCACGGGCCATCTCTGCTTCCAAGCCTCAGGTCACTTGTACAAATGGCCCTGACAGGTGGCATCTGAAAGGCATCCTCAAACTCTACCATCTTCAAGGCAAGGTCTACAATGGGAGGAAAAGGAACGCTAGGCCCTCAGTTTTGCTACAGTGCGTTTGATGCAGATCAAGACAGTCATGCTCAATTGTGCTAACTCTTTAGAAAGGGAGGTGTTTCTTTTCACCATATATGTTTGCTTTTCAAAGACCCCAAGAGAGGACAAGTCCTGATTTCTGTCTCTAGACTGCAGAGAAGTTATTGGTGGGTGGCACTCTATGTAGATATAAAGCAGTGGTGGCCCAATGAGTTTATTCTAGAAGTTTCTTACATCGTGTTTTAGGTTAAGGGGTGGAACAGATTCTGTGTGAACAATAAAGAGACTTCTAGTGGAGGTGAATTGCTTTGGAATCCATGCACAGGAGCCATAAACTGGTGATGTTCATAATATTTGGTTTAGCTAGCACACTATAGCATTTTTGTATTCAGATTTCTTTCCATGGGTTTACGCTCTCAGATTATATTACCTGCTTAGTCCCTGAGAGCACGTGAGTTCACAGTCCTGAAACACCACTGACCACATCACAGGTCCCAGCTCCTCTAAGTCTCACTTACCTATTGAGTGTAGCACTTTGTGGTTTATGGTTCCCCTAGCTCCATCTACAAGCTCCAGTGTCGATATAATCAATTTCAGTGTAAAAATGGTTTCTCTTGTACTTTTAAGAACCTGGGTTGTTATAGCTGGGACTGGGAGTCATGAAAAATATGGAAGGGAAGTACTACGACCTATGTATCTAATTTTCCATCTCTTTTCTTCTCTCTGCAGCCCAGACCTTTTAGCCCTCCCATCCATTCCTCCAGCCCTCCTCCAATAGCACCCCTAGCGCGGGCTGAAAGCACTTCTTCAATATCGTCCACCAATTCCCTGAGTGCAGCCACCACTCCCACAGTTGGTAAACGTTATCTCCTCTCTTTTAATCCATTGGTGGTTTTGACTGGCTATATTTATGACCTGGAAACCCTGAGGCCTATGTTTCTGGTCAGAATTGTTTTGCTGTGTGTTTTGCTACTATCATCTGACTCTTTACCTTCCCAGCAAAGGAGGCAAAGTGCTTCAACTAGGCATATAAATAAAAGAACATTAACACCTGTGTTATGCAGGAATTATCTTATGCTATTCCATACAGAACTATTCATAAAAGAAAGGAAGAAATCGTCACATAAGGTCCTGTAATTTAGATATTATTTCTTATGATCTAAATTATCTCCTTTGAGGGGGGAATATTAATTTAAATTCCAACTGTGCACCACCTCAGAAATCACAAAATTTAGAACTTCTATTTTCTTGAAGCTTTCATTTCTACATCAGTTTTGGTTGTTCTTATGTTGACAGATGGTATACACATTGGCATTGTGGAACTTGAGCAAAGTTTTTGACATATTTTTCTAGTGCTTTTCAGTGATACGTGGTCAGTGTTCCCTGAGAAATAAATCATTGCTGGCATTTTTAGTAAATGCCTTTGAGTCTCTTTCCTTATGGTGTGACGAAAGTGAAGAGTTGAGAATGGCTGCTCAGCTGGATGGTTTTCCCAGGTTTAAATGCCTCACATTGCCTGGAGCGTCTTCCCTTTTCCCAAGGCTGGTCTCCCTCTCAAGGTCTTCACCATGGTCTGTAGGCTCCTGCTGCATCTTCTGTTTGCATGGTGTCTCTTACCTGGGGCTTTCCCATTCCATGTTTTCCCATTGTCTTCCTTTATTGTCAGAACTCCCCTCCAAGCCTCCCATTATTATAAGCCAGCTGACCACTCTGCATTGCTTGGGAGAATCATGAACCAAAGCTAAATAAATCCCTGCTACTTACCAAGCGCCCGCTACAGAGTTGCCCATGTGAGTAGTAGCTTGATCAAAGCCTAAATAAGTTAAGGTGTGCCTCTTAGGGGCCCCAAAGAGAAGTTCAACTATAGCACATGCTCTATATAGACCAGTCCAAAAGAATCCTTCAAATTTGGTGAAAATATAGCCAGTTGTCCAGTTTCATTTGGTGCAGTAACAAGGCAGATACTTACCATTATGGGTATATACAGCCAGCTGTATTCTTTATCTGCATCATTAATTGGGGCACGTTGGGGCTTCCTATTTTTATATGCCTATTAGTTCATTTCTTTCTAACTTTTGGTTTGTTTGTTTTTCCTATAACAGCCCAACCTTATTTTTGAACTCTCATTGTGCTCTTGACTGTTACAGCCCTTTTCCCCACTCCTGCTCTAGTTTTTTGTTGTTTGCTTGCTTTTCTCAAGATCATCTGTCCCTCCCACTCCCTGTGACGTTCCTGGTTGATCAAAGAGGAAAGTGAATATAAGCTGTCACTCAGAAAACAAACCTCAAGTGACCTCAGATGACCGTCTGACATGTTCTTTCAACTCACTGAGATTCAGATAAAATTGCACACTCGGGAGATTTGAACTGCGCCTATGCTTTCTACAGTGTGTTTTTATACTCCCTGCTGCCGAAATCTCAAATCCTGGCCAGTGACTTTAGTTCTGAACACATCTAGTACGCACTCTGTCAGGGTGAACCACAGAGGGGGTCACAAAAAAGCCCCCTGAGAGGATAGTCACATTGCTTCATTGCTGAGGAGCACTCTGAGTTACTCTGCTTGGTTTTATTGTTTTTCATTTCATTTTCATCTTCCCACTACATTCCTCACTCTCCTGTCCTTTATTTCCCGCTGCTGTGGGTCACCTGACAGCCACTTCTCACTGAAGTAAATACATGGTCAAATGACTGGCCGCCCAGTAGCTTCTTGTGTCTTGGTGATTATCTCTTTTTGGAGAGGATATGCTTTGGCTGTCCAGAACCAAAGACTGGCTATTCTTGACTGTCTTGGCATGTCAACCTAATGAAGTCAAATGGCCCAGGGAGATATTATAGCAGCAAAGTCCCCAAAGCCTCTCCCACCACCATAATAGTTTTTGACATTTCCTGTCACACTTGAGCCAAAATTTGGGCAAGTGTGGTGAGAACCAATAATCAGAGTTTAATGTAATTTAAGGAATAAAATTTTAGGAGCAGGTTTAATCTTCCTACATGACAGTTCATATAAGAATATGCCCCTATCCGATATTATAAAGCAGTAAATCTGATGTCACACCTGACAATACAGTAAACTCTTTTTGTACTCAGAAAAATCTCACAGGACTTTCACTCTATGATTTTGGGAGAAATCTAATATTGTGGGAATATAGAAGATATATAAAGTTATTCTATTATAAGAAATAAACTCCTGGAGATTTGCGGTAGAAATAAACAGGGAATTATCTCTAATTGTAAATATCTATTTTTATTTCTGTGGATGATAGTCACTGTTTTTATATGCTTGCAGAATCTTCATTTCAGAGCCCAATGAAAAAAAAAAACAGAGTAAAGATAATTTCTCTTCACTGTTAAATATACTGTTCATTATATTCCTTCACTTGTTAATTATGCATTTGTATCTGCCTCTTTAATATCCCAGGAATCTGGAATGAAAGAGAAATAATCACTTATGGCCAACAAAGGAAGCGTGCTGATGCTTCCTTAGGTGTGGATGTAGACCTTCGAAGTGTTAATTATAGCATCTAAAACTTACAATATTTCCTCCAAACCTTTGTCTCTCCAAAGTGGAGGCCACTTCTGAATTGGATTTCTTTTACAAATACCTGTATTAATGCCAGTTATCCTGCACAAAAAGAAAAATAGGCATTTGGAGGTGGATATTCTTGATCTCAATTAACAATCCCCATCTTTAATTTTAGCCTTTTTCTTTTTTCTTCTGCTATCTTTTTTT